TGTCCCCTGGGACGCTTCCTTCCCCTTTCCCCCAGGCGCTCCGAGCCATGGCGGTGCGGCCGCTTCCCGTCCTTTTCCTCGGCTGAATCCCGTCCGCCGTGTGGGTTGCGGAATACCGTCGCGTTTCGCCGCCCTTTTTTCTCCTTTCTAGCTCAGATGAGGCGGAGGCGATAATTGCTTGTTCGGAAGGGAGGCATAGTCCCTCAGCCGGCCGGAAGATGCAGGAATGTAAAAGGATTGTGGTTTTCAGGGTGTTTTTTTGTGGGCCTGTAGGTAGTGGATCTGTCCCTGGATTCAGTACAGCACAATTACCGAGGCAGCCATATTGGGATGATGATCTGACAATCCTCTGAGCTAAGTCAGGAGGCAGGCGTCGGGAGACAGGATGACAGGCCTCGTAGTTTTGGGGGTCATTGGCACAACACGGGTATTAGAACTGCGGTTGGATGACTACAGTTCACCAGAAGCAGATGGTGAATATGTATCTGTTCTCTGAAATGTAAAATAACGTTCGTCCCGAATTTTAAAGTATATTTCTGTTTACTTCCAGCCTCCTCTTAGCTCAGTTCTTTTTGTTGTTGCACAATCCAGTACACTGGTGTGTGGATAAATAGCCATATGTTTGCGTGATGTTTCAGTGCACGGCCAAGTTCTGCACCACTGTTTTGTCTGGCATCTTCACTTAGTATAAAGATAGCAATTCGTAGCGTGTGAGTTCAGCTGATATATCAGACTGTCATCACTACCTGATCCTCAGCGGAGGACCTAAAATTGGATTCCCTCTGGTTCTCTTGTTCATAAACCCCTGCTGCTCGGAACAGCTGTTTTGCTAACTTTCCATATACTAATCTCTATCTTTGTTCATTTTCTTTCTTTAGAGTTGTTGTACTGGTTAAGTTACAAGCAATCTTTTTGTTGAAAAGTTACCACATTATCTGGGAGGCATACCTATGCAAATATGACACAATGGCTGGTTATGTTAAATAAAAGTGGTGCTTCTTCATTTGTGATGTGTGGTGGTTTTTTAATTTTTATTTGAACATAGAGATACAGATTCTGAACGCTGGTTTTGTAACCGCTTTGAACTTATTGCAAACTTCTGTGAATATATGAATAATAATTTGACTCTAAATCCCTATTCGTAACTTTATTTCAGGAAATAACTATATGCTCTTTATTTTGACATTGCATCAAAACTGGTTTGCCAGAACTTTCAAATACATCCAAGGATCCAAGTCTTAATGAACAGTTTGTTTCTTTAAACATATGTGTGGAAGTCCAGATCTAGTTACAAGTGCTTTGAGACCATGAAAGGTGGTTGACCAACATCATTGGGTTTGGCAGCTTGAATAACAGGAAATGGACAAGATATTTAAGTGATTTGTTTAATGACACACTTGAATACTAAAACCTGACTGTGTGACTTTCAGGGTGGATGGTGGATATCTTTAAAATAAGTGGAAAAGTAATATGTAGGATTTGCCTTTGTGCTGATGGAGCTTGCTAAACAACTTAAATATTATCTGCTACCTGTTTTAGAGCCAGTGGTATGTCATGTCAGAGAATTGAGCATGCAGTTGCCTTCTTTACTGGTTTCCTGATGGGATTTCTACAGGCTGCATGTGGAAAGATACACAGCTAGTAGACTTTCCAAGACACTAGGAGACTGATTCATTCTAGCATGGATGGCAGCCTTCTAAGCCTATAATGAATATATATAAAAAAACCCATCTCTCTTTTATAAAGATTGTTCTAAATCTGTACCACAGACTGTATTGCACATCTTGTTTTGCTCTGTTGCAAGTTATGTCTCTTATTACCACTCTGTAGACAGAGTTTTGTAGTAGTAAGTGATGCTACTGGGAAATGTGAACACTGGACAAAGTTGCAGTATGTTATCTGTGATGCTATGCAACTTGGTCTCATTTTGACTTATTTTATCATTCTGTATGATGAGGGCAATACTGCTTTTATAAAATGTTACAACCAGTTAGAGTTGCTGATAAGTGGGGAAACCCCCCCCCTCAAAGCCCCAACAACTTAAATTTATGGGAAGCTTGGTAAAATACATATTTTTTTCTTCATTTTCTTATTAATGGAAATAAAAGCTTGCATAGTGAGATGGTGTTCAAAACATCTCAAATCCTTGTGCATTTTGCTTATTTCAGCTATGAAAAGTAGCAGAGCTGAGAATGAATGAGGTTTAAAATTACACCAAAGTTAGGGCTGGGAAAAGTTGGTAATTACAGAAGTCTAGCAGTTAAAATTCTGTGCTGTTGTAGGTGATTTTGCGACCTGTTCTGTAAGAATTTCTTCACAGCTTTGTTTCAAACAAGGCTATCATTTAGTCAGTGCATATGGAATCTCTGGCAATGTGCTTTTCATGCTTTCTTATTAAAAAGGTGTTCAGAGCTACTCAAATTTTTTTTAAAAAAAGTAGATGTTTTTCACCCTCGCTTTGCCAGTTTTCTAGATATACTAGTTATCAGCAGAAATTAGTGTACTGAGAGATATTTCTATAAAAACATCAGAAAAAAAATCTTTGTATGTGGTACTCTTCAGGAAGAAGGGAAAATAAGTTCCCTACATTTCATAAATAATACTATAAGAACACACTGTTTGTATTTTTGTTATCTTAAAAAAAAAATCCATTAATGGCCTTAACTTTATTCATTGGTCCTTGTGGGCAGTTGATGAAATGTTTTTTCACATTAATATGGATAGATGGGGAAAAGAAAGGTGAGAACCACTAAGCCACTGTCAGGTAGAGTGTCTGTAATGTGCTACACCCCATGAAAATTCCACTGACTTATCTTTTTCTGCAAAGTAAACTGTGTCACTATGAACTTGATAAGAGCAGAGATTTTACACTTGATATATATGTTAAATTGTATTTCAGAAACAGTGCTTAGCGGTTATGTACAGTAACATTCGTGGGTTTTAGCAGCAATATTCAGGGTCAGTTGAATAACACTACCGGGATGTATCAGGATTAGTCTTGTCACTTAGCTTTCATGTGAGGGCACAGGTACCTTACGCAAGGGTCATGTTAAGAAGGGAGAGCAAAAAATCCATGTGGTAGATACTCAGGATGAAGGCTGACAATGAAGCTCCATGTTTGATACACTTTGTTATACAAAGTAGGCACCTCTGAGTAAGAGTGAATAAAGCAGTCCTCTAAAACAACTCTTAAACTTTGAAGATCATGTGAATTCGTTCCCATTACTTCTTTGCTGTATTCTATGTTTAAGTTTCTAGGGAAACTTCTTAACATTCTGTATTAACCTTAAAGCTGACTGTGTGGCTGTTCCGTGAATCGTTTTTCTACCAGTTTGCTGCACCCCTGACATTGAAATTTAGTTGGCTTGAACCTGAAGACGTTCCTGTTCTTGTAGTCTGGTGAGATACCTCAGGTACCTGCTAAAACAAGGAATGCTTTAAATTACCTCTGCTGCTTGGTGGAGTAATTTAATTTCTGCCTTCACCATGTGATGACATTAATGAAGTAATACCATTTTATTAAAAACTTCGTGTAGTGTGTGAAGATGTGTCATAACTTTAATTAAGCACGTATAACTATTTTTATCAGCTGTAGAACATACTTCAGACCTGAAATGCTTCTGCTTTAGATCTGCTAGTCAGTTTTGTTCTTTTGTAGCACAGCAATTACAATCCTGAAATGAGGGATTTGATGGATATGTGGTTTAGAGATAACCAGAAAAGATGTCAAGGCTTCTGGGCCATGCATGGTGACTTGTGCAGGGTAGAGTTCTGCCCATGTTAACTCAGATTCAAGATAGAAATGACCGCACTGAGTCAGACCAAAGATTCACCTAGCCCCGAAGCCTGTCTTCAGCAGTGGCTGTAGCAGCTGTTTAGAATATAAGGAGAAATCAGCCATGTAATCGTGTTTTCTCAGTATATTCTTCCAGGTTCTGGGAGTCTGCCTTGGTGGCCTTCCTAGCCAAGAGTGATAACTTTTCACTAGACCTTGATAGCTTTTTCTTTGACTCTGTCTTAGTGCTTTTTGAGTCTGTTTAACTTCAGCACTGACACTGTCTTGTGGCAGTAAGTTAAACTGCTTAATTGTAGACCAACTGAAAAACTTTCTCTTAATGGGAAAGGTTGGTCAAGGACAATACAGTCTTTATTAACCCGGCATTCCAATACTGTCTTGGATGTGCCTTGAAGTTTGCATTGTTTGTATCGGGGATAGTTCCCTGCCAACTAAAAGCGCTCAGTCATTGGGACACGGTAGGATTTGAACAAGTGTTTTGGTAATGAAGATGTATGAAGATGAACTTACTGTTGAACATTTGCTGAAGATAGATAGTAATATTTACCCTGAAGACAATAATTTTTGCTTTCTCTTCTTTCGTACAGAGTAGCGTGTCCTTTAATCACTAGATATACAAGTAGTTAATGAGGTTTTATTTCCTTTGAGAAGAGGACTTTCCTAGGACTGCAAGGGGTTCTTTAAGGTTGTTGAGTACACCCTTTTCTCTGGAATGGCGTGTATGGAAAGTCAGCGTGATATGGCTCATCATCACATTTGTGTTAGTTCTAATATTATTGCTAATGCATTGTGGCAATGAGGATTGGCAGCCAGCGAACCTGGATACGTAGTATACGGTAGCTAACTCCTGCTGAAATCTAAGTAGCTGTATTCACTGCTAAAATTATCTTTGTTAGGTTAAGCCTAACACATGTTGCAACCAGATCTTCATTTTGGTATTGGCATCCTTCCTTTACGGGAAGAAAACCAAGTAATGAAAACAAATATGTGTGTATACTTAAAAAGAACTGCTACAGATGACGGAGACAGTGTACAGGTGCTGTTGAGCGTATTTCCAGTTCTGTCTTTGAACTGACAGCTTTTGGGGGTGGGGTAGAGTGTGTGTTTGTTGAGTAGAAATTGAAGTTAATAAACAACTTGGAGCCTCCCTAATTTTATTGACATCTTGAATGCAATAGCTGTGAATAACTAAACTATGTTTTTCTCTTCAGAAAACACCAACAAGAAGGATAACTTGAAACACTCCTGACCCCTTCACTTTGAATTTCTTGACTGCACTACAAGCAACCAGAATGTCGGGGGCTTCAGTGAAGGTGGCTGTTCGGGTCCGGCCCTTCAATTCCCGAGAAACCAGCAAAGAATCCAAATGTATCATCCAGATGCAAGGCAACTCAACCAGTAAGTTTATTTTAATCTCTTAAGGGAGTCTTTCTCTCTCTTCTTCCTTCCTGCTTCACCTTTTTATCAGACAGAACTGACTGAAGTGTGTACATTATATCATCTAGAATTACTGTTTTTAGGAAACCTTCTCTTCTGAGTCTGTCAGTACACACTAGATTGTCTCTGAATTTGACTAGAAAGTCTAAATCATGTATATTTTGATTCTGATGCAGATATTTATGGTGTTTGCTTGCAGTCAGTTGAGAATTCTCAGAAAGATTAGAAAACCAAAGTGAAAACTTTTTGTTTAAGTCAGTGTATGGGAGTATAACGTGGACTGACAGATACGGGGATATGTTGCAGACCACAACATGGTAATTGTGGGGGTATAACTCCTGGGTCTGGTGCTTTAGTTCTCGGTGTGCTTCTTCTGCAGTCTGTACCTTTGTTTAGGAGCATAATTTGAGTGAGAAGGCTGATGGAAAAAGGATGTCAAGTTTTATGCTTTCCAGATTAGACGTCTAAATGATGGAAAAATAACAGAATACATAAAATCATCTTATTTTCTAACCAATTAAAAGTGTTAGGGTTCTTGAATATTTAGTGTGGGTCTAATTCAGAGGAGAAGACTCTTTTATGGGAAACTGAATATGGGCACACCATTTATTGATTGATTTATTTGCTTGTTTTACATTCTTGTTAAGGTCAAGACAGTATTGATACCATTTCCTGCAGTGTTGTTGGTCATGTGTAGTCTAACAGCTATACCTGTAAGCTGTTCTTATGGTCGATTTCACTTCCATAATCAAGTAGAGTTATCTTGTAGCTCTAGGAAGTAGCACTCTACTGAATTACTTCACTGTCTGATTATTTGAGTATTTATTCATGCATGTTGATACAAAGGAGGTTTTATACAGGCTCCTCCCATTTTTTTTTAGCTGAGGTTATACTTCAGCCTGCTTCTGCAATGGAATTTAAGTCCCGTTTGTGATCACTTAAATTCTATACAGTGTTTATGGTTTCCTTGGAAGAGAGGCATCATACAGAAGAGAGCTTGTTTTTCAGTGTACTAAATTCTTATCTTCAGACCTTGGGTGGAATATTACCTGAAGAAACTTTTTTTTGGGTTGGATTACAACATTTCCATTTAAAATGGTGAAGACAAATGTTCAGAAGTCATCTCATGTAGAAACAGGTGGTTTTTATCCCAACGTTGCCTGCCATCTTTCAGACTAAACTAGTGTGGAATGGAAGAACTATAGACTCCGTTAGATGGAGATGCCATCAAGCTCTGAACTACAGCAGGACCACTGGGTACCACTGTAAAAGGTCTTGCTACTGTCATGGCATGACAGCAATAATTTTAGATGATTAAAATATTTGAATTCCAGGAGCCTGGGGTACAACAACAAGGGCAACCAGTGAATCTCTAGCGATCTGACTCTTAAGTTTCAAATGTGGTGTAGACAAAGGACGGTGGTTTTATTTCTGAGTGCTAGAGCTGCACTACAAAGACACATTTTTCAAGAAAGTGCCTCAGCTTTCAAAAGGGGAAAAATACTTCCTAATGTATCTAGTTGGAAATTTCTTTACAGGTTCTGCTATATTTTGTGCTCTGGAAATGTTCTTATCTGTAGGCTTCTATTTGAGTCCTATGGCTCTGATACAAGATGGGTGATATGACAGGTGGTCAGGTTTAAGTCATCAGGGGCCATTACAGACTGTGGGAATGGAATCATCAGTTGCAATAGTTACACATTCTTACGGTCTGTGGGCTATTTTTTATCTGTATTTCAATCTTAGAAGATAATGAAGAAGGTAGATAGGAGCAATTACAGAAGAGGATCATATAATGAAAGATACAAATAAGGCATTGTCTGGTGCGGAGAAAAACTGAGCAGAAACTTTTCTCCAAAGAATTCTCCTAACAAAGCTGTTTGACACATAACTTCAAGCTGAAATTCTTCTGATATGTTTTTAGGCTATGTGTTAGATTTGGAGGCATAAGTACTGTTGCTGTTTTTGCCAGGGATTCTTTTTCTCATGGTCCCTCAGTCTTCACAGCCTCAGTTACATTATTGAACTTCTTAGTATTAAGGTCTGAAGTTGGTGAAAAGCTGACTACAGGAAGTACCATTAATGTATCTGACTCTTACATCTGGTGCAGCAATTTCAAAATAAAGGGAATTCAGTAGTAATTCTTGCCTATGGAGTTCCTGCTTCATACCTTCAAATGTGCCGGTGAAATGGTCAAGGCTTAGATATCTTGCTTCTGAGAAGGTTATTTTTTCATTTGTGCGCTAATCAAGTTGACAGGAGGCACATCTGAGAGGCTGGTGGTAAGTTGGGTGGTGACTATTTTAAGCCTTCAAGGCAGTTAAAGTTCCCTTATCTTGGAATTAAAGCCTAATGAACTCTTGTGATGAACAGAACTGATGAGACGGTGTGAAGTGTGATAGCTAAGAAGGGGTTTTGATTGTTACTTGAACTTCAGTTCTTTATGTATTGATTGGCCAAGCTATTCTACAAATCTTTTGTGGATCCTGAGTTTAAACTTTGTCCAAGTCTGAGTTTTGTAAATTTATTGGCTGATACAGGCAGAGGCTTACATTATATTGAAATTGAGGCAAAGTGTTCAGGATTATTTTAAGGAAAACAGTATAGGGATACAGATAATAAAATGTATCACAGGTTACTCCATTTGTGGCTTTTTTTAAATGAATGTGTGAAAAAAGAAGTGTTTTTTTGAAGACATCCATAATGAAGTATGTTGTAAAGTCAGAATGCCACTAGGGTTGTGGCCTGACACGCTGCTTTTGTTTGTCAGTTTTTGTGTGACTTTGGCTGTTTACAGCTTTTGAGTTGCCTGTCATTCACAGTGGGCTTGCCAGCAAAACAAAACGTCCTCCTGGGTTAGAAAGTTTATTCTCAGTTTTGTTATACAGTTTAACTTTTCCTTCAAAGCAAAGTAAGTGTAAATTTTTGGTGGACTTGAGGTCTCCTACAGAATTAACTTGTTATCCTGTCTGGCTTTTATGTCGTTTTCTCATAGCAGATCAAGACCTTTAATCAAGATCCATAGTAGACGTCCATCTGCATAATTTCTCAGTGTTTAAAAAATGATACTGTAGCTGTATACAGTTTTATATATGTATATAAGAGAGATGTTACAAAGGTCTTTAACCTGCCATGTTAAGAGCACTTAGTGGAGTAATTGGGTCTTCTATTTTTCTGTTGGAAGGATGCAAAATACAGAAATTTTGAAATTGGTGCTTGAAACATATTGTCTCTTTTTCTTTTTTTTTTTTGTCTACTATGATAAGATGACAAGCCTAAGTTGTCAGTCTTTATGTTATTAAAATAAATGTTGCAAAAATGAAATTCTGCAGTCCAGCTGAAGTCACATGTGCTGACTGCATTAAGGGGCTGGTATTTTGGCAGAAGGCCTGCACTGCTCAGATCGTATCTGGTTGCAGATGGTATCCATTCGAATGATACTGCCAAAAGTTCTTTAGTGGAAATGGGAGACGTGTGGGTAGGAGAATAGAAGGTAATAGAGGAATTTTTAAAGACAGGAGAAGTTAGAAGCTGCAAAATCCTACCACTTCATTAATTTGATAATACTAAACACTTTCCAAAGATGAGGTAATGTCACCATCAAATTACTAACAAAAAAACCCTACCAAAACTGAGTGAGATTAATTTAAGACCTTTTTAAAATTTATTATTAACGCTTAATTATGATCTTAAGAAACATGAGATTTGTTTTCTAAAGCACCTGCTATTCAGTTGGGTTCAAGTGACCTCAGTGCTTTGTTTTCATTTGGATTTATGTTCATATCTATGTTGTCCCTTGTACAGAGGTCACTGGCAGATGTGAACATATGCCCCTAAGTCTCACACGCACATGCCCACTCAGGCTGAGGCACAGCATAGCTGTGTTTGCAGCATTGCCCATCGTGCAGTCAGCTGTGCGAGGGTTCCTGGTGAGAGAAGGGAAAAGTCTGTGGGCTCTGAGGACTTTCCCTGTTGATAATTAATTCCTTAGTGTGATCCTTCTGTTAGCAGTCATTACTGTAGCTTAGCTTGACACTGCCTAATACAGTGTTGGTTTCATATTCTGCTTCTTACAGAATGTTTTCAAGGGAAACTTGGCATCGGTGGGCTTTTAAGTTGCTTGTTGTGATGGTGGTTTATTGATAAAATCCCACCTAATATTGAAATGGACTGAAACTTCTGAAATAACACATCTTTTTCTCTGAGATAATATTTTAAAAAATTTGTCAGTCTTTAAATAAATTTGAAAATTTATCTGCTTTAGTATTTTCTTTAAATTACTGGTTTATCATGCTCTATGTCATGCTCTGGTGGTTTATCATGCTCTATGTCAAACTCACAAGCAGCTTTTTGAAATAAATAATTCGCGAATAGATCACGGTTGTCACCATATCTTGATTGAATATGTTTTGTCTTTAACTCCTGCTTTTTCACTGCTTTTGTTCAGAATGATTTACACCAATGCATCTTAGCCACAATGCATTAATTGCTTATTGCCTGTTCACTTTATTAATTACTGGTTTTGTGGTGAGTGGGAAAAAGATTTTGCTGTGTAATACATGGGATGAAAGGTGAGCTGTAGATCTAGAGTATTTTCTGTGTCAGTAGTTCTCGTACTCATTTTTGTACCGGGTTTTGAAATGTAACAAATGTAAACAAGGTTGGCAGCTGCTCCCTTGGATGATTGGAATGAAAAGCTAAACTATTCTGTGCCTAAAGACTTCCCTAGTGTTGTGGTTTTTCTAGGGTTTTTTGTTTGTTTGTTTATTTTGGTTGGTTGGGTTGGATTTTTTTGTATGGAAGTTATTTGATAATTCTGTCAGTAAATAATGCATAAATAGAAACGAATGAAAATGAAGCAGAAGTTCAAGCTAGTAGCTACAAGACAGCATTTAGATAATCATTACTAGCAAAGAGTCCAGCTTGCTTAGTCTTTTAAAAAGCTAAATAAGTATGTAGAA